GCCGCTAGATGCGTGGTCACAGGGACGGGTGCTCCTCCTGCCACTATTTTCTGATATAACACACTAGGAGTTACCTAGTCTTTCTCAAAATCTGCTTCAGATATCATGTTACAATTATACCGCCGCCAGATGACATTAAGATATATGGAGTCTACAGTTCAGATAACTTGACATGGGCAGTGAACGTGGAGCTCTGAGGGTATTCCATTCAGGAGAATGACTGACTGAGGCAGCCCCGATGGGGATATTCCTTGAACTTGAAATAAATCCATGGTTATGCACTTCTTGGCGACTCACAGGCAGCGCGTCTATCACCGGAATGTTGATCGAAACTCGCAAGTTGTGCCAGTCCACCTAAGGATCTTGGTGTGGCTGTTTGACTCCAGATTAAAGTTTCGCTACACATTGACCAAAGCAGTGGAGAAAGCCTTCTGCAACTTATTTGTTCTGGTTGCAGTGTGCAGTTGCATTCGGATGTGGCAGTGCTGATCCGCCTCGTGACAAAGGCATGCGGGTTGCCTCATGTCGAATACTGCTCCAGAGTGCTGGAGCCGTTCACCAAGGAAAAAGTGTGATCCAAATTGAAAGGGTTTCAGCGCGTTTTCACCACGTCTCACTGTGGTTATAGAATTACTCACAAGCAATTCGGCCGGAATCTTTACCCAGTTTACGATTGCACCGCTTAGATGTTTGGGCCTTAAAGTCTTTGAATGTAGGCGTGTATTTCTCCGACTGGGTTTTTGTTTTCGCGTTTCGCCGGCCAGTGAGATCAAAGCTGGTGCCAGTACAGTACTGGGTCTTCCGACCCACTAGTTGTTAGACGAGGTTAGACTCAAATCAGCCAGTATGGCTTACTCTGGCTGCTTAGACATAGCGGCTTATCTTTAATAATTTCTCTTTACGCCTGCGCTTAGATGGCTTATTCAGGTTGCCTCGTGAGGTTCTTTGAAGCGCTAACAGTGCGCACGTTCAGGAGAAGATACAAAGGCTAAATATTGATCGAGGTCTCAATATATTTTCTTTGATGACCGGTTGTTCCAACTATAGTCTTTTTCAGTTTCAACACACATGTTTGGGCGTCTGTTTTACCTCGAGAGTCCTTTGCGGCGGTATGCTGCATATCCGCTCTTGCTTTTAAAAGTTCAGATTGTTCTAACCTCTAGTATTTACTAGAAGCCCACTCTAAGGTGTCATTTCATTTCGCCTGCCTTGGCCCCTCACCCACTTCAACATTCTTTCTCCGTTTCTGAATGTAAGCCTTCATGCCGTTAGTGCTGCTGTGCCAGGAGCTAGTGGTAATCTGCGTTCATTCTGTTATTTGCTTTCCTCTACACAGCCACTATCCACACGGCAAATAGTTGCCACTTTTTTGTGAGTGAGCTCCAGGGTCCGGTCAACAAGTGGTTTGTTTACTCTTTAGACTTAGTCACTTGGGCCAGGGTCTTTAACGCCTGGGGGTTCGTATTGAGATCAAAGACGGTAACTACTTTGGCCCGCCCCAAGATAACCTCGGTTAGTTGCGTTGCCCGGCTGACCTGCCACTCCACTGCTTTTTCTAGGATTTTATCTAGTAAAAGGCTCCATTGAACCCTCTGACACTTCTTGATTATATGTCGTGGGTATTCATCTTTGTGACTGAGTAGTGCGTCAAATGTTAGTCTTCCTGCGACCATATTGCTGGTGGCCAGCATTGGCCCTCCTGGCCACCAACGTCATTGTTTCTTCACTCTCCGATTGGTCCCCCTCAGGAGGTGAACATAAACGTAGTTGGTGAGGCGTATATGCAGGACTTCGTATTTGGGCTCTTCTCATCGTTCACTATAGTTCTTTTCAATGCTTAAGAGCTCGGGGCTGTCGTTAGACACTTTTAGTTTCATTTGTGCTTTTACGTCGCTTTTTTACTCTTCTTACCCTGTTCTAAATTGACCTTAACTTATTGAGTTTGGACCAAGGTTTAATGGCGCACCTTGTGGCATATAAATAAATAAATAAATAAATAAATAAATAAATAAATATGC